CCTACGAAAGACTGATTTAAGACATTTTAATACCAATTAAGGCCTTAGTTTTATTTTGAAGGATTCAATGCCTTTTAAGACTTTTTAAGGACCGGCGGGAACCCTGCCTGAAACACGTTTTAAAGTTGCAGGACAACAGCCCTCGAGGAATAAAGGACGTTTTGCTGTTGCTGCAGCTGCATGATGTTTCTCCCACATTTGTTACCTTCACAGATCGTAGCTTGTGCCATTTTTTCAAGGAAAAATATCAAAATATCTATCAAAGTGAATGGAGAGCATTTGTAAACATTGGTTTTGTAAAAGATTCCCATTATTTAAGTAAATCTATCCATCTACTGTGCTTCGATCCAAACCAGGGGTCTTGGATTCCAGTAAAGACTTATGAGACTTATGAAAATATTTATGACTGTAATGTGGAGAAAATCCAATAATGAAGGAACATGAATACTTTTGCAAAGTATGTTTGGCCATAACAACAGCAGAGACATCCCTGCTGCACATGCTACGGATGTTTACCTGAAATATCTGGATCCCACGTAGAGTGAGGCCCAACGTCAGAGACGCTTCAACTTCTTTTTTATCCTGAGAGAGAAGAAAACAGGTAAGCAGGATAGTAAAACCAAAACATGAACTCCAGCAAGGTGCGATTACATGTCCGATCACGTGACACGAGTTAGAAACGCTGGATCCCTCACCTTGTACAGCCTGTAGTAGTGCACCGTGACATCGTCTAGCTGAGCGCACTCTTTAATGTACTTGAGGTGCGCCTCTGAAGCTGTGAGTGCAAACTGGTCTTTGTGCATGTTAGGAATATGCCTCAGGATGTATTCCCTGCCACGCTTGGCTATCACCTGAGCAGGGAGAGAGGCAGAAGGAGCCATCAGTCTGCAGTGCTGCAGGCATATTACAGAGGGGGGGGATAAAACTGGATGTACAGATGCCGAAGACTGAACATAAGCTAGAAACAGTTACTCGGGCAGTCCTGTAACCAAGTAATCTTTGTAAGCACCGAGTAAATCAGGAGATTTGCTTCAGGGGCAGAGTACATTGTTAAGATTCCAACTATTTCCTGTAAGCAGCGGTTTGCACCACGATAAAGAAGCAGGGGCCTAATCACAGGAAGTGGAGGGCAATCAGACGGGTGTGGCTGTCAGAGGAGCCATGTTACCAGAATAGATGTTCTAGCTCACACTAAAAAAGAACTCTGTGCAACTTTTCAGGGATAAAAATACTCAAGAACTCCCAGTTTCCATGAGGCTGCTGGTTTAAATAGATGTAACAGAATCATCTTTTATTGGCATTGTTTATAGATATAGTTGCTTCATATCGTTCAGACTAAAGGGTCGGGACACTTCCTAAAGCTCTACTCCCGCTAGATACTACAACTGTTTTTATTATTCCTTTAATAATATTACAAAAAACAAGACAGTTTCTGCGTATCATTAAATTCACCTTTTAATTTAAACATCAGAACTGAAGAAAAATACATAAAAGTATACATAAAATGCAGAGCAACATATTAATGCACCTTGTTGGAGGTATTTATTGTTGGTTTATATTTTTAAAAGGCTCTAAAGTTTAATCTTAATGTCAGCAAAGGAGATCATTAATCAGACAAGCAGCCAAGAGGCCCATGGAGGAGCTCCAGCGATCCGCAACTCAGGTGGGAGAATCTGTCAGCAAGACAAGAGATGAACAAAGGTGGTGCTCTGGTCTGATTAGAAAACAATCTATCCCTTGACCTTCACATTGTGGTGGAAAAAGATGATCCTAGACTCCCCGTCCACAACATGAAACACGCCGATTGGTGAGATTTCGCTCTCTAAATGTGGGGCAGGTCAATAGGGAAACCTGTCAGAGCAGCAAAGGATTTAAGGTGGTTGAAGACTGACGTTCAAGCAGGAGAAGAACCCAGACACTCAGCTAGAACAGCAAAGTAACATTTAAATCAGAGCATATCCATCTGTCAGGATGTTCATCAAAGCACACCCCTAAATCCAGAAGAGAAACTGCTTTAAAACTAGAAAATTACAAACAAATTAGATCTAATTAACGATTTTTTTCTCATATTTGTGTATATTCACTTGATCTGTGCAGTTAAGTAAGAGAGTTTGCCAATGGAATAAGAGGATTTATGTTTAAAATAAGAAACAACTGTCACAGTCTTGGTTTTGTTACGTTTATTTAGAGTATTCAGTTTTACTTTGCTCCTTGTTTTAGTGTTTAATTATTATTTTGTTGTTTTCTTGTTAGTTCCTGTCTTCCAGGTTTTCCTTTTGTTGTCCTCTGCTGCCCTCTTGTGTCCTCTATCCCTTGCTCTGTTTTCTGCTCAGCCCTCACCTGTTTCCAATCCCCTCGTTAGCCCTCTCTTTGTCTCTGTCCCCTTTAAAAGCCTCCCTCTTCAGTTCCTGTTTGCTGGATCCTCGTCTAACGTCTGTCTGCTTACCTCGTCTCTCCCTGGCTCCTAGTGTTTGGTTTCCCCTGATGTCTCCTGGGTTCTGGTTTGTTTGTTATTTTTGTTGGATGTTTGATTCCTGCCTCCGTACCTGTGAACCTTATTAAACCCACCTAAATTCACCTCTGCCTACCTTCCTCTGCTTTTGGGTCCTCAATCCAACACCAAATCGTGACAACAACAACTCTATCATCATCCTATTTCAAGACCATAATATCTTATTTTAAGGGCGGGGGGAATTGATTTTATTTTACTTCTTTCTAGATCAGTTTTTGCAATGTTTGAGATCATTTGTAAAGAGAAATTGGTACAATTATTGTCCAAAAATGCAATAAGAAGCGCTTCTAGAAAGAGGTCAGAAAGGTCAGAAATCCTTTGCCTTCCTTTGTTTCCATCTTTCCATTTCAAATACAATTCAAATAAAAAAAAAGCAATTCTGTCATTATTATTAAGAATTCATAATTTAAATTAAAAGAAACATTCAGCACAGAAGTAATTTAAAACACTAGATATTAAATATGAATATATTTGTATAACTGATTCATTGATGAATCACTTATTATGATCATTTTGATTTTAACAGAACGCCTATTTTTCTGCCCTAGAAAGGATTTTTATTAGATCAATTATTTTATCACAACAAAATTTTCCCACAAACATCGCCTCTCTGTAACAGATGTAAAACATGGGACAGCACATTAGCACCTCAATTTTGGCTTTGTCCAAATATTCAACGTTTCTGGACCTCAATATTTGAATGGTACTCTCGCGCCCTTAAAGTTAAAATAAAACCCGATCCAGAAACGGCCCTCTTTGGCGTCTCGGACACTCTTAACAAACTGGGTCGTGGTGTAACAGCAGTGGTCTCCTATGGCATGATGATTGCCAAAAGATGCATATTGAAGCAGTGGAGGGCTGACAGACCAACTAATTTTGTATCTTGGATCGAGGAATTTACAGGAATTTTGCACATAGAAAATATTAGATTTGATTTAATAAACTGTCCTCAAAAATTTTACAAAATTTGGAAACCCATTTTAGAACAACTGAAGCCATAAAGAAACCCCATCTCCCCCTTTTTTTGTTCTTCTTTACCCCATTTGTCATAAATAAAGGTGTGGACACTTCTAATTGACTGGTTGAAACTCCTGTTTTTTTTTTTACTTTCAGTATGTCTAAAGTGTAAATGGACAAATTGTCTAATGTTTTTTTCTGTTTTTTTTGTGACAAGTGCTAATAATCCTTCACTAAAGGACATTAATCATTGTCATGTTCTTGTATACCTGTAAAAAATCCATAAAAATAAAGTGGAAAAAGATCAATTATTTTTTCATTTTTGTGGGTCTCTGTTATGATGGCAGGAATACTCCATCAAAAAAAGCCCTCATAAATACCTTTAACTGTCTGTTTTTTGGATCAATGTATGGGAAATAATTACAATCTAAATAAAACATGATTTATTGATTCAATAAATATTTAAATTTAAGAATTAAAATGTGAAAAGCCATCCATTGCGATGCTGATCTGATTATACTCACCCATTGGGGGAAGTAGGCTTCAGGTTCAAAGTACTTCCCAAAGTGCTTGTTGCGTTTAAAATTCCCGAGGTCGGCCTGGAGCGCGAAGGCTGCCAGGAGGAAGTAGGCCTCCTCTCTTTGGATGCACTGGGAGAGCAGCACCTGTTTCCTCAGGTGCCAGTAGTAGTAGTACCTGGCTACGCGGTCGCTGCGCGGCACACAGAGCATCACTATCAGCATCAGACGTTAATCAGTTCATTGATTAATGAGAACAATGTTCAGAAGCTTCACTAACCTGATCAATCTCCCATTTTCCACATAATACTGAGCTCTGAAGTGAATGATCATTGGAGGCCCGAACTGGTCAATACCCTGGAAACAATATGAAACACTTCCTTCAACAATCACAGCTAAATATAAGAGATTTTAAAAGTTATGCAGACATTGATCTATTTCAGGAAAGAACTTTATTAGTGGTTTGTCTGACATTTTCCCACAAATTAATACCACATCTACATATTTCTACAAACCTTTATTTTTTTTAGTGTTAGCAAAACATTATATATATATATATATTAGGGATGGAACGGTTTTTGAAAACCGTCCGACCCGTTCGGTTCGACTGTCTCGGTTCGGTTCGCGTGTGTTTCGTTCGGTTCATGCGCTGCTCCATTTTCTCATAGGGGAAGCGTTTACACTCCAGAGCAGAAGGTGGCGGTACTGCGACCAAAGCCAACCACCAGTAGTAAACAAGAAGAAGAAGAAGCGAAGCA